GTGGAATTCATCTGCTTCATCAGGAAATGTACCATTATCGGTAGCAGTCACATTAGTGGTAGTAACTTCATTAATGGCTTCACTGTTTCCCAATCAAAACTGGGTAGAGTTTTATCTTCAACAGTGGCTTTTTCAGGTGGCACGTCTTCAGCAGCGTCATTTGTTATGTTGTTCATTTCTTTCCAACTGCAATTTCCTGGACCATGATAACGCCAAAGCCTGTTGGCATGCACCACCTTTGGCTTACCTTGCTGACCACATTTTATTCGGAAAGTCACGATCCACTATGTCATATGGGCCTTAGGAGACTTCCCTTTGGTCTTGCTAGGATTATACAACCACATCTTGTCTCCTGGTACAAAGCTGACTTCAGTAAATTTCTTATCATAGCTTCATGGAATCAGCAGACGTTTTTAAGTTTCAATGCACTTGATGATGAATATCATCCATCCTTTCAGATAACACTTTCACGAACTCTGACACATTTTCAGGCAACTCTTCGTAAGGTGGGCGTCCTGTTATCCCGACCAAACATAAGCTTTGCTGGAGTGTATCCAGTGGCTTCATGCTCTGCTGTTCTATAGGCTATCAACAGTGGAGGGAGTAAGACATCCCAGTCATCTTGGCGGCTATTACAAGTATAGATATTAAAGCAGAACAGGAGAAAGACCAAGATTCGAAGCCAATAATTGATTTTCTAAAAGCAAGTGTTTTGCGCCCTGCTTGGGAGAAGGTGTCTAGCTTAAGCCCTGTGACAAAGAACTATTGGGCACAATGGAACCAGTTGAAGCTTGAAGATGGTATTCTTGTCCAGAGATGGGAAAGTGACTAACTGGTACACAGTTATACCAAGAAAGTTATGGGAAGTTGTGCTGTGTCAATCCCATGATAGTTTAACAGGAAGACATCTTGGAGTTAAGAACACATTGAGTCACCTACGACACAGATTTTACTGGATAGGTATGAGGCAAGATGTGGAAGAATGGTGCAGGACTTGCAGTAAATGTTGTACTAAAAGAAGACCCAAGCATAAGGGACGTACTCCAATGAAGTTATATCAAGTTGGCGCACCAATGGAAAGAGTAGCTATTGACATTGCTGGTCCTTTGCCCCAAACTCGTGCTGGAAACAGGTGCATTTGTGTGGTGATGGATTATTTCACAAAGTGGCCTGAGGCATATGCAATACCAAATCAGGAAGCTACAACTGTAGCTTCGGCTATTAGTGATTTCTTCTTCAGGTTTGGTATGCCATACGAACTGCATTCAGATCAAGCCCGTAACTTTGAATCAGCTGTGTTCCATGAATGCTGCAACTTGTTTGGCATACGAAAGACCAGGGCAACGCCACTTCACCCACAATCTACTATGGTAAACATGTTTAATCATTTATAATAACTCACAACACAAGGTAGCGTATGGTAGGTTTTTAACAACTGTTCTTAATGAAATTATTTAACCTTTAAAGTTTTACTTCTTTGTTTGTTTTATAACATTGGGTTATCGGCGAGGAATGGAACCCCGGATTTCAGCGTTGCAAGTGCGTAGACTTACCGCTGTCCCCCGAAAGGCTTGTGTTTTTTTTTTAATTTTGTCAAGTATGTCAGTAAAAGGGTTGTTAATGTTATTCACCCACATTGGATTTCTTCTATTTGATGCACCGCGTTCATATAGTAAGAAATATATATTTTTTGAAAGCAGTTTTTAATGCTGATTTCAGAAATATAAATTACAGTTTGGAGAAATTAAAAGAAATAATTTAAATGTTTTTTTTTATTTTGCTCTCGAAACAAAGGAAGTACTTTTAGCATTACATATATACATATGTATTTAAAAGAATGCAAGACATCAAGACAATACAAAGTGTCAATGTGAAAATTCAGAAATATTCCTAAATATTTGATTGAACGATTGAAGAGATCATCATTTTCATGCCTACGATGCCAAACGAACTCGCAGAGATAAGAATCAATCATGTTACGATTGGTTCCACATTGTCGCTTGTTACGTCTCTTAGCTACATTCCATGTACTTTCAATTTGCTGCAAATTTCATAAATACAAATTTAAATTTAAATAATTGATTTTTAAAGGAGAAGGAATGGGAAAATATTTTAATTTTTAAAGAATTTTTTAAATTAAATTATTTTTTTAAATAAACACGTAATTATTTACTAATTAGTCTAACTTGATCTAACCTCACATAAACTGACCTAACCTAGCAAAATAAAATAAAAATATTAAAAATATTTGTTTCCATTTCTCTACATTTTAATTTATATTTCTGAAATGAACATTAAAAACTACATTCAAACAATATATTTCTTTATATTTAAACGCAGTGCATGAAACATAAAAGATCACCCAGATTTTTAACTCGTCTTTTCATATTTACAGAAAAGAAAAAATATTAGGTTGTGACCTTTTTAGAAGATTATCACGGACAGCCTTTACACAAAAAATATCTTAAAAGTCAAAAGTACGTAAAGATTATCTTACCATAAGTAGCGTCTGAACTATAAAAAACAATTCGTAAAATAAACCGTTGTTAGAGAGTCTGCAAATGAAAAGACTTAAAGTAAAATAATGTAAAAAAACAGGAAGGTAGCGTACATATAAACTTATGTAGTAGCATATTCTACCAATTCTATATGTCGGTGGGTTCCTTTAGATTACTTGGTGAATGTAATTCACGCAACAATAATGGATCAGTTTATTTCTTTTATAATGTTTCGACAGTCTACGTTCACTTGTACATTGTTGTAGGCCTAAATTTACAAAGAAATGTCAACATGAAAGGAACACTTCACTATTGGTACCACTATCGACTTAAAAGTAAACTTGCTTTTACAGTTTCACGGCTAGTCGATTGAGTAACTAACACTGGCCTGGTGATGAGGGCGCTCGACTCGCTATCTGTGGGTCGCGAGTTCGAATCCCTGTCACCGAACATGATCGTCTTTTCAGCTGTAGGGGTGCTAAAATGTGACAGTCAATCCCACTATTCGTTGGTAAAAGAGTAGACCAAATTTTGGCGGCGAGTGGTGTTGTAGTTACCCACTTTTTCGTCTATCACTGTTGAATTAAGAACAACTAGCGCAGATAGCCCTCGAGTAGTTGTGCGCGAAATTAAAAAAAATAGCTAACACTGGTTTGAATATTCACTGAAGGCTTAGATCTACAGTTGGATGTTTTCACCGCAAAGCATCTTGTTCACTTTTGTTTTTGTTATTTCTTTCTACACTGTATAGTGTTATTCTGTCTTTAATGTTATCACTAGTAAGACTTGCTGTCCTAATAATATTTTCAATAATTTGATCATTCATAAAGTGATAAACTGAGTATACAATGTATGGTCTTGAAATTAAGTTTTTCGTAGTTTCTGTGAAATTGTCTCACTGTTTTATAAGAACGAAGTTTTATTTTCAGTGTTCTAAAGCTATTGTTTTTTTAATACACGATATTATCTGTTTATTTACCTTGTATGTATATATATACATTTAACAATTTTTCGAAATTGGATCATTCACAAACAACTTATGATTAAGTGCAAAAAAGCAAAAAAAAAAGAAGCAGACAGGTGTTTAATAAGTTTGAAAATACATAACAAGTAAAGACATACATTGTGTTGTGCTTGCATAAATTTTGGAAATCCGTACCAAATGTAAATTTTCCTTTAGAAATTAATGTATATTACGCCCAATAGATAGCACTACAATATCATTCGTGAAAACTTCGCTTATATTTATAGCTTTATAAGAATCAAAGTTGACTATACCCCCCTGTAGAGAATGTGGGTATTACTAAGTTATCGTGAATATTACCATTATTTTAAAGATTACCGAGTTAAAGTAATATTTCAACACTTTAAATAAAAGCCATAATTAGCTAAACAATCGTCAGAATACTATACTCAGTCTTATTACTTTTATTTTCACTTGTAGTAAATAATGTAGACCACCATATTGGCTCCTGGATCACAAATCCAGAATTAGTTTTTATTAATATTATTTATTTATATTACTTACGTTATGTCTGTACTTTTGTAAAATAGAAACAACAGCTGTATCCAATCGCTTCTAGTTTTGAAGCGCGATATTTGTTAGGCAGCGGAAGGTTTGGAATCTATATAGAGTAACTCACTAAATGCCTTCAGGAGGATGAGGTCTACCTAGCACTTGACCCCCCCCCCCTCAAAGTCTACAAGATCTAAATTCCGATACTGCAGAAGCAGTCAACATTCCTATATTCAGGTCTCTTAATGGTATAAAACTGAAATAAAAATAACAACGTTTTATCAGATATGAGGCGAAACTTGTTGGGTTTATTTTTGTTTTATATCCATAAAAAGCTTAATCTCTGAATATAGCTTATAATATTTCTTCTGGCGTTCGGACAAGTGTCTGTAAAATTTGCATGTCAAGTAACCGACGCTCACGTGCTTAGTCTCATTGATGTGTGACCTAAATATATCGAATATCAGAAAACTGTCTTTAATCAACTGGGTGTTTAACATCTTGTAAATCCACAAGACCTGGTCAGACAGCTGTCAAGTTGAGAATTGTAATATTAATGATGGACCACACAAGTTAAAAATCACGATATGGTAATCAGCATGAGGTGTGTGCGTCATATATATTTATTTTTATTTTTTATGCACACTGAGCGATCAACACTGTGCGCTTCACAAGGATCGAACCCCGTACTTTAACGTTATAAGCTCTCAAGCTTAGTGGGAGGAACGTACATTATAGGATTTATCAAAAAACCTGTTATGTAAGAGTTCCATATAATCTTTATTTTCATTAATTCAACAAAATACAAAATTTTAAAACTCAAAATTCACTATGAATTGATTCACAATTAACGAACTACTAATTTATCTAAAGTTAAAATATATATAAATCTACTGTCGCCCATTTACTGATGAGACATGCATTATAAAAGCCATTAACAATTTCATATCAGTATATTCAAGTATCTCGTTTTTATTTTCGTGTTTGGCTTACCTACCTAGCTAATTATAATCGTTATCAGCCCTCAAGAAAAAAAATTAAAACTTTATATAACAATATTTCTATATTTAAAAAGAGAACCAACATACTTTTTTCTAGATATAGTTTGGTGTACTACTAACTGCCTTTAATATAATAGAATATTTGAAAAACATATACCTTAACATAAAAGAATTAATCACATATATCATCATAAAATTAAGTTGCTCTTATTGATATACTCCTTGTTTTCATATCCACAGCGTTAATTTACGGGCTTCTCAACAGTCAAAGAAACCATGGAAAATTCAGTCAGTAAGGAATCACTTCTTTCCGTTTCAACATTGACAAGTAACAGTACACTTGTCCTTTCCCTCCTTAGCTTCTTCACAACACTGAGACGTGTCATCCTTACAGTTACAGACGCATGTCATCTTTCCATTTTCACAGAGACAGGTAACGGTACAAACACAGCCGTTCTTCTTTTTGGCTTCTGCACAATCCTGGCATGACTCCTTCTTACAATCTGGGCTACAACGTGAATCTTCGCATTCACAAACAATAGTTACGGTAAATGGACATTTGCCTTTCCCCTCCATAGCCCCTTCACAACACTGAGACGTGTCATCCTGGCAGTTACAGACACATTTCATCTTTCCATTTTCACAGCGACAGGTAACGACACATGTACAACAGCTGTTGTCTTTTGTTGTTTTACAAGAGTGTAAACTTTCTTTAACTATATAAAAAAAAAAAAACTTAGCATTTCACTTTTTCATACAATAAAAAAGCAAGTAAGTACTCAACATGAAGCGCCTTTTTCAGAATGGCGTTTTTGTTAGTCATAATAGCTTTTATCATATCTTTTTTCTTTTTTTCTTTTGTGTGTGTGCGCGTTTTTTTTTTTTTTTGTAGGTCTTACCGTCCTATGACATTAGGTTAACGTAAAACATTTCTTGTTATCAATTTCAAATATTAAGCAAAATATATATTAGTTTAAAAATTACGTTTCCAACTTATGCAGATATTGCAAAGTTATGACTTAAATATTCCAAGAAAAATCGTTTAGGCTTTTAAAAACACAGCCCAACTATATAGGCTGATGTAGTATATTTGTAAAAAGTATTATATAATCTACATACACATAACAAAAGCGTAGCTTCGTGATACAACGATGTATTTAAAATGAATAAATGGTTAATTTGAAAACCTAAAGTCATTTCTTTTCTTGAAAAAACACAAACTCTACAACAATCAATCTTGTTACACTTCACACAATTGTATTTAGGGAACACAGTATTGTTGTGAAGTAACACAATGTTTGTAATACTGTTAGTCTTCAACACTAAGGTTTAACAATGTACTCTATGAGTAGTTACTTTCTTGTAGACAATGAAATAACTTACCAGCTGTTTCCATCTTTCGGATATTTGTAAAGAACCAACACCTCGATCTCTGTTAAACTCTATCGGATATCACACTAGGAAGAAGTACTTTTCTCTATTTCTACTGACCGCTATTTATTGAGAAAATTTTGTGTGTCGTGTGAAATTTTCAAATTATTTCGGCGGTTCGTGTGCAGCTGCTATATAGAGGGAAAACACGTGCACTAACTATCTAATCATGTTTTGTAGAGAAATACGTCAGGTTATGACCACAGTAACTTATTATCGTGTCGCGTGTGTGGAAATTTTAAATTGTCTCTATAGCATTAAGTATTGGTCAAGACTTTGTTAAATTTGTTCATATTAAGAATAGTTATATCATGAGAAAGAGAGAACTAACATATCTAAGATCGTGGTCTCTCTCTCATTTATAATGTTGTAAACAGAATAAATCCAGTGTTGCCTCCATTTTCTTACAATAAACAAAAAATTTGAAGAATACAACCAAAAGTCCAAAACTACATTAATTTATCTGTTTTAGAAATAATTTCTAAATCTTGGTAGCCTGAAATTTAATAATAGAATAAAAGTTTGTATTATTGGTTGTAATTTTATGATACTTTAATCATTTAGGTAAAGCTAAACATGCCTGTCAGTGTTGCATTGTCAACCTTAACAACCGCTTTCTATGTAATTGAATCTGTAAATTATTTTTTCTATAAAATCAAAATTTGATTTAATTGTTCTATGGTTTCTGTGTCCAATAAGATTTTACAGTTTTTTATACCAATTATACTAGTTGTTATACACATGATGAAGACAGCAGCGCATGATCTTGATAATGTTTCAATAGTGAAACAATATAATAATTTGGTTATAGTGTTACGACAGCGGTAGTCACGCGACGCTGGGAGCATGTGCGCTGGAGTTTCTAGAACGATCGTGACTTAGCAGGCAACCTCACGAATGTCCCAGCGTTTGTTACACGCCCTCTTTTTTAGTATATAAGCCGGAAATAGACTGAAGAGAAATAATTGTTAATTGAGTCAAGCGAGCAGTAGGCACCGTAAGTAAAGTGTGTGAGTCGCTGTGAATTA